TAAATATATATATATATTTATACTGGGTAAGGAAACAGAAGTTTAGTCTCTCCTAGTCACAAACTCATTCTCTCTACTCACAACATTTGATTTTAGAACAGCACACATCACCATCACAGCTCTAGTGAGAAGCTATTTATAGGACTTGATCATCAGGTGACGTGCCCACTTACTGTGGCCACTGTCACCCGACGTGACTTCATGATTGGTCGCAGTCAAGTTTTCTGTATTCCTTAGTTTTAGAAAACCCAAAATCTTCAGGAATGGCTCAATATCAAAATGTATGTCTATCTTTTTGTACAATCTCACTTCGATAAAAAGAAAAAAAGAAAAAGAAAAAAGAAAAACCTCCCCGAATTTGGTTCAATTCTGTTTGTTCTGAGCTGAGCCATCACAGCTGCACTAGAATTCATAAAACACGTGCAACTCTGGGTAAAATATTTTCTTCTAAAAGCACAACCACTTTACAAGATTAAAAGTCTAGTACATTTCTAAATATTATTCATATTGTACAAGTAGTGGTTGTTAATTTAAAACTTCATTAGTAAAATTACAGTACAAGCATGATTAACCTCCAGAATTGCAAATCCCAGACTCCAGTGGAAAGCTACGTTACATCTTCAGTAGTATTTTATCTTCCACTTTATTCCCAAACCAGTGGAGATGGCGGCATCTCAGATGGTTGAGCAACTGTGGAACTAGAATGCAGGTGATACAGAAAATCAGTGTTCATTTGCAGTAGCTAATAGACAAGAAAGTTAATGCTCCACCAGTAAGCAAACATTTAAAGGAAAACAAAAAAACCCCACCAAAACCAAACCAAAACAGCCCAAGACCAACAAATATTTCGCTGTACTTTATCTACTTATTTTCTTAACGATTTTTCATCTATCAGTCATTCCTTTTACAGTTTTTACAGTGCAATTCCACAATCAAAATTCAACCCGTCAACCTTTCAATTCTAATTTTTAGTCTGACTTCTGTACTTTTACGCAAAAATAGTACTTGAAACTTTTGCACATTTTACTTAAATTCTAGAAGAATTCCTAACAATATTTAAAAATGTAACCATACGAGGTATTTTTTTGCAGAAGTTATCTATGGGCCTTTCCTACTCTGAGAAACTTAAAACATAAAACATTTTGGATGTGTGAATTCTGTACTACTAATAAATGTGAATTAATATCAGATGAGATTACATACAGTTACCTAATAAAGCTCTTAAAAGCAGCAGACTGAGGGTTGATGCAGAGAGGCACTCTGTTTCCTTTCTGCTGTTCCAAAATGAACTGATGAATTATTTCTGCGCATAGGAGAAAAATGAAAAACACCGTATCATTAAAACTTTTTGCTTCAGTAAAATGCAACGCAGACTGGAAGAAAATGTAGCTTCCTTTACGGAACGCACATTTTAGTGAGGGTAAAAGAACTCCAGCTTCCCTAAATCTAACCTGATGCCATACCTCACAGCATAAATTCACAGAGAACTCTTACACGGACACCGAAAGAAACGTATATAAAATAAAACCCTAATGACTGCTCTAGTACGGAACTGATGATAACCAGTTATAGATTAAATCCCGATTTTAGGGTATACTGTTTTGAAAAACAAAGAATTCTCAACTTGAACTTGATTTGCAAACACCAAGAACACAGCTCTATCTATTACTCAGTCCAGTTCGACTCATTAATTCAGTTACTACCACCAAGCACAAAACTGCCACTTGAGACGATTAAGACAGAAAAGTAAATTTTCCTGAGGAAAGAGGGAACTGTATGTACAGTTGCCAGACAAAACATCTTCTCATGCACACGCGTGCACACAGACACACCGAAAAACAGAGCCGGGAAGGTTTGGCAACGGGCTGCTCCTCCATAAGCAGCAGCGGAGGTCCCCATGCCCGGACGGGGCGTCAGAGGCAACGTGCCGGAATCGGCACTGCTGTCGGCAAACTTTAAAGGCAGCGTTCAGAACAACAGATTGCAGAGACGACAGCAGATCTACACACAGCTCTGCAAAGTGGTGCCCAAAGAGAGGAGGAGAATGGAAAGAACGACAGGATAAAAAGAAAACAACGTTACGAGAACTTGTATGAACTATGACGGTGAATTTCAGAACTACAAGGTCAGGATATATCCGAAATAAGTCGCATTATCATGGCAACATCACGGAGTATTTTTGTCCCAAATGACCGAATCGTTTGTTAGAAACTGCTGAGGTAACACGTTTCTTCTCCCTCTCTTCCTCTTGAGTTACTCGAGCTGCCACCGAACAGAACCTAAATCCCGACGACTGTTTCTCACGTTGCACTGCTCTCGTACAAGGACCGCTTCCCTGCTCGGATCCGATTTCAAAAGAAACAAAGTCCATTTTATGGCTTGTTTGCTAAGATAGAATCAGACTTCAAATCTCCAGTGCCACAAAGCAGCTGCTGGCATTTGGTAACCACCTGCAGCAAGTTCCCTCTCCCAGGCGTCAGGGCTGACTCTCCTCAAGACAGCGTGTCACGACTCGCAGTGCACCCTCGGCGCTGCGGCCGGAACCAGCGCGGCACCAGCAACACAGCTTACGACGGCAGCGGCTGAAGACACCCGCACTTGACGTGGACGCTTCAGCGTGAGCAGACCGACATGGGAGAAATGAAGCAGGAGAACTACGAGCCTACCCAGCCTCAGTGACTTGATGGCGCTGACCCCTTCCGTGGACAGCTGCCGCGGCAGCGCCCCGCAGCCCAAAAAGGCAGCAACAGGGATCTCCCTCTCCCCCCGGTGCAATCCTTCAGCAGAAGAGCGGCGCGGGGAACACTGACACCAGAGAGGAGCACTACTAAGCAACAGACTTCTGCATGTCAACAAACGTGTGTGACACTGTATTATGTCAGAACATTTACAAGCAATCCTGCTCCTTTACTGAAAAGACATTATTTCCAGTACCTACTATGGAAAAATACCTAAAAGAAAAAACCACCTGGGTTAGTATATGGATCCGGATTGCACATCCTAACTACGTGCTGCTGGAGGATGGAGCAGGAAGATAAATGCAGATGCAAAAGTTAACTACTACTCACCTTTAACCTGCCGAACAGAACTGAGGTTCTTTTCAAAAGTGTCATCAAATTTGGGATTAGTGATGGGTTCAAAATCACTAGTATAAACTCTTCCAGTAGATGTGGAAAAACAACATTTACACATACAAGTGTGGTATCGCAACCGCCCTTCATCAAGATATGGGTGAGCTAAGGCATCCTTAGCAGATATTCTTTTGGACTGAAATGTTGAATTTAAAGAAAATAAAATGATTAAAAAAAGAGTTAGGATATTTGCAGAGGTATTGAAACAGTCTAAAGAATACTTACTCATCAATTAATCTGAAATTGTTTTATAAATGCCTAATCACGTTAAAGGATTAGTTCAGGTCAGAAAATGTTTTCTATCTGCAAACACTGCCACTAGGGGGAAGATTTTACTTAAAAACAAGCAGCGTTGCTAAGATGACATTGACCTTTCTGTACCATAGCTAATGATAGGAAATGCTGCTAATATGATTTTTGGAAATATATTTTTCAATAATTACTTTCTCCAGATGACCTTAAAATTATGACTCCTACAGCAAATCAAAATAAGCCCAAAGAATTTAATGTTCGCAAATAAGGCATTTTGTAGGTCCATACTCTACAAAACATTTTAATGTGTCCTTAAGCACATATTTAAATAAAACACAAATTTAAGCATCACTGGTAACAGAATAATTCAGGATATAGCATCTGGAGTTCTGAGAAATGCTCCACACATAAAGTTTCAGCAAAGAAGTGGTGAAGGAAGCGCAGGGAAGAAGGTGGTCAGTGCAGTGGTTTAAATTATAAAGTCTACTTCCACATTACTAAGACCTTTTTTGTACGTAACTCAAGTACTCAGCCTGTAGGTGTCCAACACCATCCCATCAAAAAAAGAGATTACTATCAGTTCCTAAAGAATTGCAGACAGAAGTGCTACTGTAAAATCAAGCTGTAATGAAATCCGTTGTTATAGGTGAATTAACCCCCCCCACCAAACAGAACAAAAGTTATTTGCTCAAAGTTACGGAGCAAAAGCAGTGGCAAAGCTTGAAGTACAACCCAACTCTCCCAATTCCCAGGATATTTTTTAGATTAAATTAAAATCACCTGTTTTAAAGGATTGTCCTGATTCTTTAAAAAAAAAAAAAAAAATCAAACCCACACTTATTTAAATGTGATTTGGGAATAATAGTATTCTGAGCACTGAGGGAGTTAGAAAGGAAAAAAATTAAGTTTGTTTATGTGGAAGTTATGATTTAACACTTCTATGTTTTTGTTCAGTAAAGTGATCTTAAGGTTTAAAAGAATAAAATCAAAAGGTACTGCCTTCTGAATTCTTTATCAATTTCAAGCTTCCCCCTTCGCAGTTCAGTCAATTTGCCTGTTTTTCTTTTGAAATGTTAGGGATTTTCCTGTAAAGACGAAATAACTAAGACCGTCGATTCAGGTATCAGATATTCTAGTGACAATTTCGTCTAGTAAGCCCAAGAGATGAAATCCAAAACCCACAGCAGCAAATTTTTATTAGAAAAACAGATGCTCAGTGGAAAAAAGATGTGACTAGCAGGAATTTTTTGTGTGTTGCAAGACCACGAACACCCACGCGTCTCTAATTAGAACTGCATCGAAGTATCTGATGTTCTGCTACCTACACCTAGCTAGGAAAAGACAGCGTGATTCACGAACACCCTCATCTTGCTCACTCTATCGTAGCTTTCTTCAGAAGACCGCTAGACTTTAAATGCCAAAGCCCCATTCCAGGGGAAAATTAATCGACCAATTACAAGATGATACTTTCACGTCTTTTACAGACCCAAAAGTACTGGAAATGCAATGTAGAAGAAAATGAGTTAAAGGAGTCCTTTACTTAAAATATTCATTTAGGTAGCAGACAACAAAAACTGTTAAAACAGAAGTATGAGAAATAATTTAAAATCATACTCACTGGATCAAAGACCAACATTCTGCAAAGGAGATGAACTGCTTCATGTGTAGCTTGACTGGAAAGTGTATATAGGACAGGAAGGGATGGCTGTAGGGGAAACAGGAGAAAGAAAAGTACAGATAATCGTCCTGTCAGGTCCATCAGCAAGAAAACGCTGTTAGTGCACACGTTATTTTATAGTTACCAAGGACAAACTTCTTGTTAACAAGGACCCGCACGACCTAGCGCTTTCCGACAGGACAATAATCACTACTGCAGAACTCGGCAATTGTAAGAGAGATCCAACTGCTCGGTTTTTTTCCTTAGCTCAGATGTAATCCCCGGACAAACCTGTATTTTATTTTTCTGTGTAGACACCACTTTAGGCCGGAGCCGTTCAGGGCTTTGATTAACCACGTCACTTCCAGTATTTCATTTTTCCGATCTCAATCGCTGCCAAACCGTGGATTATTTTGTGTTGCCTTGCCCAGGCGATCCATACCTAACTGACAGCGACATCCAGCACAATTCACATGACCTTCAGGCATAAGCATTTTACAGAGAGATAAATAGGCCAGCGACCAGGCTCGGAGGGCTGGGGGAGGGGGAAAGGGGCACTCTCGGGGCACGAACCGCACGGTTCAAAAAAGCCGGAACAACGCAGCCGCTGCGGCAGCGGCGCGATTCCCGCTCCGGTCAGCCCCACAAAGCCACCTCTGCAGAGCCCCTTGCTCCCGCCTTTCCCCGTTTCGCTCGCAAGCACGACAGCCCGTCCGCTCTGCAAGTGTCCGGTTTTAGCCGAGCGAGAGAAAACCTGCGGTACAAATGCCCAAGTACAGACAGATTTTGAAGACTGGGGACGTCCAGCCCCCGTTCCGGGAACACCAGCACATAACCCTCCGGACAGCTACGGGCCTGGGGGCGAGCACGCGTCCCCAGTCTCAGCAGCACCGATCCGCACTGCCGCTTCAACCAGCGGGAAATACTTTAACACGATTTCACTCAACATATAAAGTTGACAACTTTTAACTGCACGTGCTCTCTAGCCTGAAAGTCTACTTTGACTCTGCAATTGAATGTTAGCACTAAGGCAGCAAAACGCAAAGACTACCCCTGTCCCCACACTCCTAACGCACGGGAAGAAGTACTGCCTGAAGTCGCCCAAAATGTAAAAAAACCCCAAAAAACAACCCCAAAGAACCCCAAACCAACCACCAATGATGTAACGTTATATGCCGTTCATTTTAAAGCACGAGTTATATCCTAGACTCTCTGGAATGAGCTGCAAAGTTTTGGTTTTTTTTTTTAAAGCTGCATCAGTGCCAGTTTCCAAAATCAAGTTAAAATATTTTCCTGCTTAATTGACATCACTCTATTGCTAGTTAGCGTAAAGAATGGCAGTAGAGCGCATTACAGCTAGTCTTCAAAGCAAACAAAGTGTCGCAAAACAAGTGAACAGTCACTCCTCTGAAGCGAAGGGAAAAAGAAAAGAAAATAGTAAGATGGGGGAAAAGAAGTCTCAATTTTCACACTTAGAAGAAAGCAAAACCACAAACTTATTGAAAAAAGAAACCAAAACCACCAATGAAAGCAAAAATAAAAAGCCCCATAGGTATTAGCACAGGAACTGCTGCAAAGAAAACTCCCACTATAGTGTGTTACTTCCAAGCCCAACACTCCTAAAGTTCCCTCTTTTTTTTTTTTAAAAAGGAAATAAACCACCACATACACGTGCAGCCACACCCACCCACCTTTGTATTCTTGCCATGAAAACTGGAACAGCTTTCATACGAGCTAGTGAATGCAGGTGTTGGGAAGAGCCATCAGGGCAGGAAGGATTACACGGAGCGCTTCACGAGTGCGTGCGATGAGTTACTATTGAGGTGTGGGGAGAAAATACCAGCCGGCCGGCAGAAAGGACTAAAACACTCTGCGTAAAATATAACAAATCCATTGAAAGCTAGCTAGCGTATTTGTGGGACAATAGTCGCTGGCAAACTTAGACCTTGTATTATATTCGCATGGATCCACAGGATTTCCAGATCTGCATTAGCTCTACACAGACTTTTAGCCGGAACGCGATGCTAATATTTGGCAGGCATCTGTTGCTCCTACCTGTTTCGCAAAGCAAATGAATAGAAGTTATTTAGCTGCTGTAAATCTGTCAGTGTATATAAAAATTACACCTCCGCAGCGACATCATTCTAAATTAACGCTGAACTACCAAATACAGCACTAAGCACTTCCCAGCCTTGGTTTCCAAGTGCAGTCTGTAAAATATAAAGCTCTAATATTTGGTAACTTCATATGATTTTTCTAATTAGCAAGTATCATCTGCACAAAAAAGCACTGTCATCCCGAACTGTGGTTAAGTAGGTTTCATCCATAAACTGGGGCAGAAAACTATGATTACATTCCTCACTTCGGGAAGCTGTTGCATCCAATACAAACGGAGGATGCACTTTTTTTGCTGCGCTTACGCCCCTTGCCTGCAGCTTGTCTGCCATTCCCAGAGCATCTGGCTCCGCACGGCTTTTGAGGACAGCAGTTTCTCGGCAAACCGCAATCAAGTGCGCAGCTATGGGTCAGAAGCAGTCCTGACAAGAGTACCAGCAAGGGCAGAAGAAATTGGTAAAAACTGAACTGCTGTAAGATTTGATTATCATGGAATCAACGGTCAGGTCCTTTAGCAAGCAACGTGCATCCCACTGGATCTCTCTCCTCCGTAACAGAGGATGGAAGGACCGCACGGGGAGGGAATGGGCCCCAACACGTTTCCCTTTGGTAAGTGGGTCAGCACGCGCCCCGCGTGCGGTGCCCGCACCCCGCCTGCGCACGCGGGAGGGGAGGAGACGCTCTCCCGAGGGCTGCCGGCTAAGCGCCTTGGTCAAGTCACTTACCTGTAGTTTGAAGTAAAACTTTTAAACACAAAACTGACGAAGAAGTCTACATTATATGTAAATTTTCATTATGCCAACACGCAGTGGGGTGGGGTTTTTTAAAGCAGAACGTTCACGCGTTAATCTATTTTTACATAAAGCAGCAAAATGCTTTACCCCTTTACTCCTACCATGCTCACCTACATCGATTAAAAATAGTTTGTGCGACAAAGTAATCACCAGTTTCTAATTCTGTTTGCTCTCCCTGTTAATCTAATTAAGAAACTGGCAACATTTAGCTGTTTATAACCAGGAAAATCTCCATTTTAAACGGAGATTTTAAATTCTAAAAGACAAAACGCCATCATTTTGAATTCGCATTCAAATATGAAGCGTGCTTGACGTTGAAAACAGAGAAATATCGTTAAAGAAATCAACTAGAGGCACTGTAACCCCCTGTTTCCAAGTTGCAGATGAGCACACCAGCTCGAGAGACCGTTCCGCTTCTGCGGCACTCCATGAAGAACGGACGTTGTTTTCCTCCGCAGACACAGAACTAACCACTTACAGTTTCCTTCCTACGGCTCAGTGGCTATAGGACATTAAATCTGTATCGGAACCGTTCCATAGCATTTCACCTCACTTGCTTTTTAGTATTCCCATCATTCAGTGGGTCGAGAGACGCACAGTTTCAGCGGCTTGTACGAGAAGCCAAGGCCTTAGCTCTAGGATTAGAAAATCATGAGACATTCTTGTACCCATTTCGATTCTTGATAAAACATCCTGGTTTGACAAACTGGACAAGGCTAACAAATAAATTCCCAGAGTTCTTGCTTACTACCACCAAGACCACACACTTTGGAAATGTCAAGCCATTATCAAATTATTAGAGTTGAAAACCAATGTATTCTATAAAGTATCTGGATGTATTTGTATACTGTGATATATTTTTATATATAAAGTATAGTGGATGTACTTCTCCCAGCATCAATCACTATAATTTATTTTTTCTTAAACATCTTAAACCTTGAACGTGCAGGACTACATGCTTAAAAGTTACAACTCTTCTTGCATGTGATAGCAAAAAAAAAAAAAAAAGACTCGATTTGTTTTAAAAATGGTAGAGAAAGTCTTAAGAAAATCCTCCTATTATTAATGTTAAAAGAAAAAACCAAACCTGTCATAAAATGGAATAGTGACAACTTGATGTAGTGAATCAAAAGTGCCAAGGAGGCAGAACTCCCACGTGTTAATAATATAGCATAAAACATATTCAGTGCTCATTTCTATGGTAACTACTATTGTGGTGAGTAGACATTTGAGAAATTACTTCAACATGCAGAAAATAAAAATGCAAACTTAACTACTGGAAAGATCTGATGTATTAACATGTACGGGTTACTAATTTTGTTAATTTTTACTATCTAACGATCATTAAAATGACCATATCGGATGGACGTACGCCTTTATTACTGCATAAGAATTTCTTTTTATCTATTAACAGTACATTTAATTTGCCCTTTTTATTGTCCAGTCAGCCAAATGACATCATCCTGCCTTGTTTCTCTGTTTTTGTGCGTGTGTTTTTTGTTGTTTTTTTTTTTTTTTTTTTTTCCCCCAGTAACTTTAACTTCAGTTATATTGACTGTTGTATCTCAGTTTTCAATGTTAAAGCCTTTCACAAACAGCTCAGGTCACTGCACAGATGTGCGAGGGGATTCTCTGGTGACGAGTAGCTGGCCTGTTCTGCTTACGCATCCGGGTAACCGGTGATTGCCCCTTCTAACGCTCCAGATCCTGTCAGCAGCGCAGTCCCTCTGGGGTGTTCTGAACTATACCGTCGATTTTAATTTACGTCTCTTGCCAATATTATCACTTACATTTAACATCTTCATTCAAAACAGCTATCAAAACACCGTCACTTCAAAAAAGGAGACGTGCACCTGTACCATCAAGCCAAACAATGCATACAAGACAGAAGCCAGAAATGCGCTGTGCTAGTGAAAAACCACCCTGCCACAGTCGTAGTTTGAGTAACCACACCATTAACCCGTGCCACCGCACCACCGCAACGCCTCTGGTGCTCTGGCCCCGGTTTACAGGCAGAGACAGCTCTGAGATTAAACACCCACACAAAGCATTTATGAACGTACACGCCGCGCGAACGCAACCAAGGCGCGAGGCACCGCAGCGGCAGCATCGTGCACGGAGGGAATCCTAACTCGGGGGCTGGCCGGAGGGTTGCCAGGAGGCGGCCGGCAGCGCCCAGCCGTACCTGTTTATGAGGACCCCTGAGTATGTGTGCCTTGGCGCCTTCACAAGCCGTCCTCATCGCTTCCAGCGACGGTGTGCCCAGCAGGTCTGTGATCAAATCCAGCTGCAGGGACAGAGCATACAAATTTGAGACCTTACACATATACTAATATATATTTCACTATGAGAGCAGATTCTTAAGCTAACGTACATTTCGTTTCAGGTACGAATCGGTTCAAAACCGCTATTTTATGGATAGTAAACTACAAATATTAATGTATACATTTAGTAGATAGCAAATACAAACATCTGTAGTTTCACTGAAAAAGCCCTAACAGAAGCTGATTTTCAAGTTTGGGAGCTTTTTTTGTTTACGGGTTTAGCAAAATATTTTATTGCAATTTAAAAGTCAATTTTACATTATTAAGAAAATTGTTAAAGTACTGTTAATGGTGTGTTACTCATTCTAAAACCCAAATGTTCTCAACTGAACGTCAGCATTGCATACCCATACACCACAAAAATTACACAAAAAACCCCAGGTCAACTACTTCTTTACACAAAATATTGTGCCATCAACAGGAATAAAATTATAGAAAATGGGGAAAAAGCCTCAGAACTACAGTACAAACATACTATATAAAAAATGCCAATATATGAGAAAAATAAATTAAAAAAAAAAAAAAATCTGTCCAGCACCAGAGCAATGAAAAGGAGTGGTGCTGGTTATAAGGAAAACAAAAGCTACCCAAAAAAGAGTAAAGACGATGCTGTGTTTAAAACTGGTCTCAACTTTAAATGAAATTACATTTCATTCAAGTTTTTCGTTCTGGAAAGCAACAGACAAGCTTTCGGTGGTGAGATCAGCACCCTGGTTCCAAGTGCTCCCTCGCGGCCACCATCCACCCGCGCCAACGAGCCACGGCAGAGTCTCCTCTGAGAATAAACCCGTTATCATCCGCCGACAGGCCCCGACTGCAGGAAAACCACCCACTGACTGTTGCTGTAACACTGTGAAAGGTGGCTGCTGCTGCCACACCAAACTGTGTTGGTGTCTTCTCTCCATCTTTTCCCCACTCTCCGGCAGAAGCACTAGTCTGTCCGGTGCCTCGATGCACGTGCCGCGTCACAGCTCGGTACCGAACGCGCATCCTCCCGTCCGCCTTGGCACGGCGTGGCCAGGGCTAGTATAGCTTCACAGAGGAGTGACAGCAAAGTACTTACGTTTGTAAGGAGATCGAAAACTAGTGGGAAAAAAAAATCCTAAACCTTGAGGTTTTTAGACGTGGAAAGATATAATTGAGAAACAAGACACATGGAGCTGATATAATAGAAGACTGATGTATTTACAAAATACAAAAACTAACATAATAAATTATACCAGCATATCAGGGAACGTAGACTGCATAAACGCCTGTATTTTTCAGTGAACTATTCCTGAAGCACACAGCAATGACACGTTAATATACGTTTATACCTATATATATACAGGTACGGATATAAATTCACACACTTTATTCTAACGGTTACGAGAAAAAACACTGAAAAAATTTTCATAATGATCTCTTGAAAGTTCATTTTTAATATCTCTCAAGATAGACGTTCTCTTGTCATAGTCCATACATTTCCAATACACTCGCAGCAGAGTTTTGTTAAGCAGTCTGATTTCATTTATCTAAATGCATGTCGTCAGTCATTAAGCATATTTTTCTACAGTATTACAAAATATATTTTGAAATTTTAGTGTAAAAATAGAAAAAATATCACAAAACATTAATTTTGAATTCAACTGATGTCAGCTGCATGAATTTCAAGTCTTTTGGGTATATAGAGTGAATCTACATTATTATATGATTATTTTAGGTCGGAAGAAGTGCACTTTCAGAGCTAACTTCTCGGCTGCCGCCACTGCCTGTGCCCTGGTCAGCACCGCGCCGAGCACGGGCACCGGGCTCCTTCTAGGTGGGACTGCCTGGGGGATGCGTTTCGTGAGAACATCTAAAGGTACTTTATCTGCCAGCGGGCATCCTGCCTGTGCCAGATCAGGCCCACTCCGAAGCACATCTCCGCTCCGAACCGTGGGAAACGGCGGCGGCGGCGGCAGGTCCTCGGCACCGACCACCGTGCTCTACAGATGCCCTCCTGCCGGTGTGCGCCCAGCGCTCCCGTAAGCGGTGCTGACGTCGGGAAGGCAGAAGCGGAATCCAGCAATAAGCACACGCTCGGCA